GTAACAGCAAAAAAAATAAAAATAAAATAAATGCTAAAGCCCAGTAAAAAAAAAAAAAAAAAAAAAAAAGCGTCTCTGCAGGAAAACACTGCGCGTGCCCTTCCTTGTCTCCTTTGATCCCATGGTGGTAGGAGACCAGCTCCCACACTTGCTCTAATGTGAAATGGATGGCGCATAAAAACGAAACCTGGAAATGAGAAGGGCGTGTGCTGTCCCGGGGCTGGTACCTCCGAAGCACAGAGTGGAGGGCCTGGCGCTCCTTGGGGGCAGGCACACTTTCCCTGTCGCTCCTCAGCCTCTAAGGGGACGAGCCTGTGAGCTCTGCCGTGTCTCTTCATTGCATGGCTAGTCCCTATCTCTACTGTACAGGTCCCGTTTGGGTCGGCGCCATCTGTCGTGAAGCAGAGTAGATCCTCTGCCCTTGCCCAGGTCATCTTTCACATGGTGTAAGAGCTGAAGACTCTAATCCTTGGACATTTTCCATGGGATAAATGTCCAAATGCCTTAGCCCCAGTGTCAGGGAAACCCTCCATTTTCATCTCACCCCATGGGCAATTGTCTTGAGCGGTGACTGACCCCTTAGCCTTCTTTTCTGCCTTTCCACCAGTTGCTCACGCAGTTTCAAATGCCCCTCTTCTCCGAACAGTGAACCCCCATGCCCAAGGGCTGAATTAGTATTGACTCTTCACATATTGCCGCGTGTTTTCTTGTTCGGGAAGCTTCTCCAGACCTGGTGAAGCTGAAGGTGCCGCAAAGCACCTTCCCCAAACTCCAGTGTCAAATTTAAAGTCAAAGTGCGTCCCTCTCATCCTTAGACCATGAGCTCTCTGACGACAGCGTCTGTCTGGTACCCAGCAGCACATGATCTGGGCCGGGGAGGGGGCTCCTGTAGACATGGGTCGGCTGAGTGTTTGGATCTCAGTCACGGTGAAGAGGGTTGGCCTGGGGACACCCATTCTGCTCGCTAGCTAGTGATGTCTTTGATAGGGGAGGTCTAGCACTCAGAAATCAGTCCTTTCTTCACCCAGGAAGCCTGCGCTTCTACTTCACTCAGGGAATGGGCTTTCCTAGGACTTTGTAGTCATGCAGAGGAACACACGTTTCCCCTTTGGTTTTCATTACATAAATGTAGACAGGCGCATCGACTAAAGATTACATAGAGCCAGTTCTACGTGGACATGAAACAAGGCGGATCTAGCCACTTGCCTGAGAAGGGATGGCCAAAGGTGTGCTCCCCTACTGAACTGCCAGCACCTTTTGTAGTGACATCTGTCAACAACCTATTTGTGCTTTAAAAAGATGTATGCAATGTTATAAGAGCTGCCAAAATAGGATTTTTTAATAGTTTGTATGCTTTTCTTTGTAGTTGCTGGTACTAGGGAGCTTCAAAAGGTTCATGGAAAAAGTCCATTATCTCTCCAATTCCATTTTATTCCCACACATTTTTTGACGCCTCCTCTTATATATAAAACGATCTCTCTCATTGCCATTGAGTCGATGCCGACCCCTAGCAACGTTACAGGACAAGGTAGAACTACCCCCCTGAGTTTCTGATACTGTGACTCTTTATGAAAGCAGAACTCCGTCTTTCTCCTGAGGAGCTGATAGATGGTTTCAAACTGCCAACCTTGTGATTAACAGCCCAGCATGTAACCACATCAGCAGCAGGCTCCTGAAATAATCTCTTGGATATATACAGTATGCTGCCGCGGAGCACGGTGTTTACATCTATGTCTTTGATTACCACATGCACATGACTAGTGGTAGTTATCAATCTTCTAATAGTTACACGGTCTCTCAGCCTATGTGTAGCAATTGGAAGTTGTCTGTTTCAGCTACCAATAGAATGTCATTTATTCCTATCAGTGGATTATACCAGAATTTAATCATCTATTTTCTATAGGGTGTGTGTGTGAGAGAGAGATCAATAGAATTTGTGCTATTAACTATAAGCTATAGAACCCCAACATTTCTTCTGTTTTATAAATTTGTTAAGAAAATTACAGTCATTCTCTAATAATTTCTGCCATTCAAACCACAAGGAACAGATTGGAAAAAGATTAAGCATAACACTTAATTTGATAATTAATGTTACAGAGAAAAATAGAACTTGAATATGCAAGGTAATGTAGTAAAGAATGTGACCAAATTGGATGTTTGAATTTAGTGAATTTTATTTTTCTGGTACTTATTTGAGAAATTAGAGTGATTTAAAATTTTAAAACCTAACTAAGGCACATTTTTAAAATAATAAACTCAGTCAATGTATTTTTTGGTGTGTGTGCAAAAATGAAAATAATGTTTGGATTATTTATATTACTATTCTTTAGTCACAGAATATTCAGAATTGACCTAAGCATATAAAGTTATTAGCACGTGGATGACTTCCATCTTGTTGTTTTGCTTTTCCATTACACCACACTGCCTGTCAGGTTTCCACATGTATTGGACCTGCGTGTGCACAGCCTGGAAGTGATATCTTTGAGAACGTGTAGCTGTGATGGCCATAGTGATTGGTTGTACTTTCTGCATCACTTTGGCTATCGAAATGACATATCACAAATAAGTAACAGTTGTGTAAGGCCACCTGCAGCAGTGAAGGTCATTTATCTCATTCGGTACAGTTTCTTTCTCCTTTTTTGCCAAGATAAATCATTTTATCACTGTAGTAAAGTGAGGGTCTATATATATATAACATTAGTAATATAACATAAGAAAAAAGCAGGGGAAAGAAAACAAAACCCAACAAAAACCCAACAGAGACATCTGGATGATTCTATTTTAACCTGTTTATAAAAAGGTCCTGCATCAGAAATTCACAATTCTACCTACTTCTAAAAATGTATTTAGACGTGTACAGAAGTAGTGAGTTTGTTTTAAAATTGTTTGCTTTTTTATTTTTTGTAAAACTATATGAAAGGTGAGTAGAAATCCTCCTACCTGCCCCTTATCCAGTCCCCAGCACTGTGCTCAGCAGTGGGGACCCAGGTACACCTTGGTCACTATCATCTCGATCCCAGGACACTCACACCCACCCACAGCCTTTGAGCCTCTTCCGATGCATGGTGACCCTATAGGGCAAAGTACAACTGTCCCTGTGGGTGTCTGAGGCGGTAACTCTTTATGGGAGTAGAAAGCCCCGCCTTTCTCCCATGGAGTGGCTGATGGTTTCAAACTGCAGACTTTGTGGATCGCAGCCCAGTGCTTTAACCGCTATGCCACCAGGGCCCCTTAGCTATAATTAAGAGGTATTTAATTGCCGTGGTTATACTGACTTGATTATTTTTTTTATGCACTCCACTGGTTATACTCTTCTTCAGTTCACCCCAACCCATGGAGGGTGTTTCTTTTAGCTGCATCTGAAAACTTACTTGAGAAGATGTGATTGTGGGAACTCAAGAATGGGCTGGGGGATGGAGGGGATGATCTTGCAATGTTCTTTAGCGTCTCGAGTTTCAAGAGCTTGTAAACTACGAGGCTGCGGAGAGATCTAAAGATGCTGGTGGCCTTGGTTACAGTGTTTTTGTTTGGTTGCTTTGTCGTAGACTGCCTTTTCAAGGTGTGCCCTATGAACCGGTATTCGGCCCAGAAGCAATACTGGAAAGCCAAGCAGGCCAAACAAGGGAACCACACAGAAGCAGCCTTGCTGAAGAAGTTGCAGGTGAGGGCAGGGCATTCATCTACCTGGGCGAGGCTGGACTGAGAAGAGCAATAATGATCTTGCAGCTTTCTAACTTTGAGTTTTACCTAACACACGGAGTTGGACTAGATGTGCCAACACATTGAAAGTGGATGACAGGCTGAAGGTATAGGGTGTGACCATTTTCCCCCCTGGCGTGTGTGTGACACATTCTTGCTAATTTTTGTGGATGTGCCAGGTGTAGTCAAATCTTTACATCAAAGTGAAACTTATTCTGAAACTGTTGGAACGGCACATATGGTCATATTTTGCCGGACCTAGTGCTCTATTGCTTTTTCACCCTGAAAAACTATAGAAGGAAGAAAATGTTCCTGTTTTGGCTGAGTATAAATTTGATAGTGCCAAAACTTTTTTTTGTAATCATTTTATTGAGGGCTCATACAACTCTTATCATAATCCAAACATCCATCCATTGTATGTCAAGCACATTTGTTGCCCTCATCATTCCACTTGAGCCCTTGGTATCAGCTCCTCATTTTTTTCCCTTCCTCTCTGCTCCTTTCTCCCTCGTGTACCCTTGATAATGTGTACGTTATTATTTTGTCATATCTTATACTGTCCGATGTCTCCCTTCACCCACTTTTCTGTTGTCCATCCCCCAGGGAGGAGGTTATATGTAAATCCTTATAATCGGCTCCCTCTTTCTACCCCACCTTCCCTCCACCCTCCCAGTATCGCTACTCTCACCACTGGTCATCCGCTCTGGATTCCCTGTGTTTCCAGTTCCTATCTGTACCAGTGTATATCCTGTGGCTTAGCCAGATTTGTAAGGTAGAATTGGGATCAGGATAGTGTGTGTGTGTGTGAGGGGGGTAGGCGGGGTGGAGGAAACATTTAAGAACTAGAGGAAAGGTGTATATTTCATTGTTGCTACACTGCACCCTGACTGACTCTTCTCCTTTCCGTGACCCTTCTGTAAGGGATGTCCAGTTGCCTACAGATGGGCTTTGGGACTCAACTCCGCACTCCCATTCTTCACAATGGTATGATTTTTTGTTCTTTGATGCCTGATCCCTGATCCCTTTGACACCTCATGAGCACACAGGCTGGTGTGCTTCTTCCATGTGGGCTTTGTTGCTTCTGAGCTAGATGGCTGCTTGTTTACCTTCAAGCTTTTAAGACTCCAGACGGATAGCACTAAATTTTATGTTATTAAAATTCCTGTTTTTTTTCCAGAATTGAACCTGTATTTTGAGACGTTGAAATTTACTTATCATCCTGGTTGGCTTTTCTAGCCACGTTTCTTCTTACAGTGATCTTCTATGAACCAAAGGGTTTAGTGCATTTCTTAAATGTCAAGCATGCGAGTGGCCTAGGATGCAATGCTGAGTTGCCTTTCAGCATTAACGTGAATTAATAATCACACTGTTATAATAATTTGTTTTAAGCATCTACTCTCTGTTCCACCCGCCAAAGCATCCTAAATAAAATAGCCCATCTATTTTTTCATGGTCTCATTCTTTGTCCCTCGAACAGAGCTGGAGAGACATAGGTGTTTAATAATGTACTTATATCCTTGTTAATGATTGACCTCGGTGTACCATGTTTCCACACTGACTGCTTAATAATCATTTTTCTAGCATGCTGCAGAACTGGAACAAAAACAGAATGAATCAGAGAATAAGAAACTGTTGGGAGAAATTGTAAAGTACAGTAATGTTATACAAGTAAGTCTCTAAAGCATTTATGATCTCCTAAGAAAAGTGCATGACTTTTGGGTTATTTGTATTTGGTTTGAATGCTAAATTGTGTTGAAATCTTCAGGGAGAACAGTTTGCTATTTGGTGGGAATTACTGTTGGTGTCAAGCATATCTTTTTACATATTTGGCACAAGTCTATTTGGTCTATCGAAAGAATTTAACTGGATGTGTTAAAAATTAGACATTATTGTTACATTTGAATAACAAAGGATGAGGAAACATAACTTCTAAAGGATAGTGGTAAAATAGCCCTTTTTGATTAAATGGGACTAATTTATAACTAACATGAAACTTTACCCTTCTGTGTTATAAAGAGAGGGAAGTTTCAAATGGCACTTTTAGGTGGAAATTATCCTTGGGTTGTTATTGCAGTTTCAATATGCATACTCTGATTTATCTAATCTGCATTCCTTTCTTCTGCTTCATTTGATGATTTTGGCTTTTTCTGTGCTTGTGTGTTAATAAATGCCCCACCTTGTTCCCAAAAGAATGTCAGATATCTTTAAAAATACACACAACGTAACAAAATAAAAAGGAAGCTAGTATAGAAGGCAGCTCAGCCCAAGACACGATGCTGGTTGGCTGCATCAGGCGAGTTCAGAGGTGGGGCATGTTTCTACAGTCCATGCTGCAAAGTTCCACGCCCGTGTTGGATGTCTTTTTGTTGACCCTTCACCATAAGGAAAAGATAACATGCTACCACATTCTCACACAAAGTCCTTAACATGGTACCAGGTCAGAGGCCCAGAAGCACCACTGTTACCAGGAATAAGGCCAGAGAAGTGTTTCTCCTTCAACAGTATAGAAGAGGAACTGCTGAATGTGGTGAGCAATAGCCCCAGCAGCTTCCTGACGGTACCTACTACACTGAGGCTTTTCATAGAGTGCTTTTGAAAATATAGTTCTTGATGTTTTGTCATTGGCCATTGGGAAAAGGCCAGGACAGTTGAAGCAGTTCTCTAATGGGGCAAGAGGAGAGTGCCAGGGTTTGCAGCCCCCTGGACATATGATTTAGTGATGACAGATAATACAGAACCCGCTCCCTGGTTTTGGGCTACATGTTCCTTGGACTAAACCAGCGGTTCTCAACCTGTGGGTCACGACCCCTTTAGGGTCGAAGGACCCTTTCACAGGGGCCACCCGATTCATAACAGTAGCAAAATTGCAATTATGAAGGAGCAACGAGAATAATTTTATGGTTGGGGGTCACCACAACATGAGGAATTGTATGAAAGGTCATGGCATTAGGAAGGTTGAGAACCACTGGACTAAACTAAACCAAACCAAGCTTACAGCCAGTGTGACCTCGTCAGACAATGTAGAACTGTCCCAGAGGGTTTCCCAAGCTGTAATTTAAAAAAAGGCAGGTCCCTAGATCTTTCTCCAAGGAGAGGCTGGTGGGTTTGAACCACTGACCTTTAGGTTAGCATCTGAGCCCTTTAACCACTGTGTCACAAAGGCTCTGTCCTTTGGGCAATACCCCATGAAGATTGTTTCTCTCGCCAAAGTTTGGTTAGGTATTACGTAGCAGCAATTGGGGCTTATGCTCCTCATGCGCCTGAAGAATGGGTGCCTGTGTGGTCTGGAAGGGGCTGAGTCATGCCAGAGGACAGGGTCAGACCCTGAGAGTTCTCTTGAGTCTCTGCTAAAATGATGATCAAGGGTATGACACGGAACTGTTTCAAAGATGGGGAATTTTTTTCAATTAAAGAACTGTCTCATTGTGAGCTAAATTTCTTTTTGTATTTTGGGTTTTAAAAGGTCTTTCTTTTTCACGTGATTGTAAAAATAGACAAGAGGATTTCTTGTTTTGCTTTTCCTTACTCAGTTGAGCCCAAAGTTTTCAGCAGTGTATTTACTTCCTATAGTTTTGGAGACGAAGTCGCCAAATGGTTAATATACACAGCTGCAATTGGAATGTTTTGCAGTTTGAGTCCACCTGCGGATACCTGGGAGGAAAGGCCTGATGAGCCAGGGCCAAAGCAAAACAGCCAGGCACCCCCGCCCTCGATGGAAAGTTCTGTGGAACGCAGGTCCATTCTGCTACATATTGGGTTGCCCTGAGCAGAATGGATTCAACTGTAACTGGGAAAGGCAACCAAACCAGCACTTTGGGAAAGGCTTGTGCCCTGGCCTGCAAACACGCTGAGAAACATGGCCTCTGGGGGCACTCTCTGGTGAACTTGCTGAGCCGTTGTAGGATTGACTTTGGAAATGAAAGCCAGCTGGCCTCCTCATGGAGGCAGAGCGTGGGCATGCACGCAGGTGGGCATCGTTGATATGACCCACTCAGCTGGAACACCACCCGGTGTCTCTGTTCTTTAGTTGATTCTGGGTTTGGGGCTGAGCCGGGACTGAGAATAGTAGTTTCAGGGGACAACTGCTGGTTTTCTTTGGAAAGGCTGCCACTCTTCTATCATTTATCAGTAGATGAACCTCATTCAGAAGTGTCCCTTGTTTGTCTCCCTCATGTGGCCCCTTTCTGGGGAAGAGGAGTTGGGGGTGCAGGTTGAGGGGTAAACGAAAGAGAGGACAAGATAAACAACTCAGAAAGCTGGTGAGTGGGGAGTATGAAGAAAGCCCCTTGGTTGATCTTCCCTTCAAGTCTTGTTGTGCGGGGTGGGAGGTGGGGGAGGTGTGGGGGGTGGGGTGGTGGTGGTGGGGGCCTAAGAATGTGTGCGTCAACACATCAATGTCATTAACAGAGGAGATAAAGGAAAACAAGTGGTCATTCACGTCTTTCCCCTACAGCTGCTGCATATAAAAAGCAACAAATATCTGACCGTCAACAAGAGATTGCCCGCTCTACTGGAGAAGAACGCCATGCGAGTGTCCTTGGATGCTGCGGGCAATGAAGGGTCTTGGTTTTATGTTCATCCCTTCTGGAAGCTGAGAAGTGAGGGCGACAATGTAAGTAGAAGAGAGAAAAAGTGGGCTCCCAAAGAAAACTGTTCTTTATCCATGGGAGACTCCAGAAAGTACAAAGAAAAGAATTGCATCTTTCATTTGGCAAGATGTTATTTGTAAGTTAATTATAGCCGTAGGTTAAAAACATTTATTTATCATGCAACTACGTTCAGAAGTCATAAAAGGACAATGTTCAGATTAATTTTAAGATTATGCTGCCACCAAAATTTACATGGAAAAAACTTGTTAGTTGTCTGAGTTAATTCTGATTCCCGGGGACCTCGCTTGCCACAGAGCAGAGCAGCTCCACGGGGTTGGTCTTGGCTGAAATCTTGATGGTAAGCTGGCCCTGAGTAACGCATGGGTTAGTGGTTTGAACCCACCCAGAGATGGGTTCTGTGAACATTACAATCAAGAACACCTTATAGAGCAGTTTTGCTCGGTAACTCAAGGGATCACCATGAGTTGGGGTTAACTAGTTGGTTTTCAATGACAACAAGCAAACAAAAACCTAACCCAGTGGATCACCATGTCTTGTCTCTTGTGCCACCGCTGGGTGAGTTTGAACCACTAATCCTTGGGTCAGTATTGGAACACAAAGCCTTTGTACCACCTCTGACCTGTGAAAGAAGTTAGGAAAAACTCAACTAAGGCTTTTAAGAGAAGCAGAGTTTTCTTCCTTGCTTAAGAAGACAAAGAGTAGCTGTAAGGAGAGTTATGCTTATGAATATGTATCTGCCTCCTTGAACTAACAGATCAGTGAACTATGCTACTATGTTAATAACTGTATAGTCAGCTACTTACTACAATCTTACTGGATGCGTACCATATGAAAATCCCAAATCCAAAGCCACGATCCTGAAGGCCATTCTGGCTCATGGTGACCCTATATCAGATTTCCAAGGCTGTAGATTTTTACAGGAGCTGATAGCCACATGATGGGAGGTTTAGGCGGGTTTGAACCCCTGACCTTGTGTTCAGCAGTTTGACACTTACCTGATAGCACTGCCATGAGAAGTTTGTGTCTGCCCATCAATTGATGTTGATGACAGTTTAAAAGTTGTTGTGTGTACTATGTGTCATGCAAGTTTTAGTAGTTGAAATACTTTCTGCTACTTTACAGAGTAGATGATAATGGGAGAAATTATGTGTAAAGATTCAGCCCAATCAATAATTTAATATTTTTGCATGCTATCAAGTAATTCTTGACAATCCCTAGCATAGGAGAGATGCTCAGCAAATGCAGGATGGCAGTTGAATACTTAATAATTTTCCTAAATAGGCCACCTTAAAAATTTTGGGTCAGGTGGTCTGGAATAATAGTTGAGTTTCTTTTGTATCAACAAAAATGGAAAGCAATATAAAAGTGTAATTATTCTGATGGGGATTTTTCTCAATACTTCAGTTGCAATATGCTGTTTAAGATATTATTTCTTGTCTTAGAAAAGTCTTTTTTTATAGTGAACTTATTTTTCCAGTGAATTTTGAAGTCCAAATTCAATGCCACAGGATGCAAGCTTCTTGGTTTAATTTGGTTAATAAATTAACTGGTGATACCCTCCTTAGGTAAGGTTTGGCGGAAGCATGGCATGCAGGAATGCAATGCACTTTAAATTTGTGTTGGATTTCTTAAAACAACAACAGCCACAAAGCATCCTTTTTGGCATTCAGTGATGTGTGCCATGAGCATGATATCTTTTTTTATTTTGGTAGCTAGTTAATTGCAATCAACTCTCAATTATTTAGAGACTGATGATGTAGCTTGTGAATAACCTATATCCCTGGATGCTCTTTCTCGCGGTGCCTGTACCCCTCCCTGACTCCTCACCGGAATGATCCTGTCTGTAGGCGGCCAATAAAATCAAACATCCAGAACAAACACAACCTGAGCCCTGTTCTGGAGGAAGACCATTCACTGATGGGATGTATTGGGGCTTTTAGATTAGCTGTGGATGTTAGGATTTTTTCCAATTTGTTTCTCTTCTATGCTTCCAAATGCCTTTACAGCGTCACAGAGAGTTGAATGTAATGAACTATTTCGCATCATTAGGTAAAAGGAGAAGCACACTCCAACACTTCTTCTTGGTCACAGTGAACGCCATGCTTGTTCAAGTGCAATATAGAAGTCCTCCTAACATAGATGTGCCCGGTGAAGCATGACTGAAACAACCTTCCACTGTGCTTTGTGCTGAAATAGCTCCTTCTTCTACTTCACCCCTGTGTGGCTTTTGTATGCGATTAAGTGTGCTGTGAAAGCGCAGACACACCCACAACCCCGTACTTGCCATGTATATAGTTGTGTTGTAATGCTCACTTCCTGTCCTAGGACGAGGTGGTATTTTCCTAAAATACATTGGGTTTTGTTGAACACATGGGGAAATACAGATGGTTTGTAACAAGGGATTCACTTTCTATTGATTTTCCTTTCAAGAGATCTCATATTAAAGTAAAAAGAGAACATTGAAATGTGCAGATAACTTTTACAATTATATTGAGAGATTTAGCGATTAGTTAAATTATGATTTAGGTTGTACTTTTCCAAAAAGATCTTTTATGGTCTAGATGAAGGGCAAGAATGAAGCTGATGATATAGCCTTGGGAAAAAGATGCTCCTACGCCCAGAAATCAATGGTCCTTCACATTTCAGAAGCACTTATGTGAACTGTTTTCAGGCCTATGGGGCATGGATAGTTGTGGACAAAAATCGATTTATGCATTCTCAACTTTTGGTTGTACAGCAAGACTTTGCTTGTTGTTCAATAGTTAAAAAGTTGCTGGGCCAGTCTTGAGCCACATATGTAAATATTTCATATCCATTTATCTTCCCATGATTATTTAATTTTTCATCTTCAATCTTGATTTAAAAAGACATTCGTTATTTACCTTGATGGCAGATTTAAAAGTGAGATGAGATCAGGTATCATTTTAATTATTGTGATGATCGAGAGGCCATTTTAACTCCCAGGGGAAGGGCTTCTTCAGATAGCAAGTAGCTCTTGCAATTTTGAAAGCTGCATGCCTTGAATTTACAGGGGAGTCGGACTGGAGCCCGAAGTTTTGGTTCTGAAAGTTCTTTTCACCGTGCTTAGAGCCCTGCAAGAGGAGGATAGGTGCTCATGCGCAGATTCATTTTCATGTGTGAACTGAGGAGACTAGGTTCGATCAGGAGTGCATCTTCTGGTGAGATCTGGCCACATGAGTAATGCTAGTAACTAGAGGATTAAACTGCTCACTACTATCATTTAGAAAGCATGATTTTATGTTCCTATCATTTGATCTATGAATAAAAACACTTGAAGATAAGAATGGACCTTCTTAAGATAACATGTATGAACTCAATCACCGTGGGCGTACTTCTTTCCGTCATTCTTCCTATAGCAGATGGGAGTTTTGGCTCAACAGTGGAGACCAGGTGTAAGGAGTAATGCTATTGTGGGGTGTTTAAAATAAGCAGCTATCAGATATCCAAAGTCTAAATAATAAACATATTTCAACAATCCAGATGACATTAGAATGTTATATAAAATATCTGAAATTATAGGGAAAATCAAATTTACCGGATCTGGTAAGAATATAAATATAAAATATTTTTTATGTGCACTTGGATTCCACTATTTTGGTAGACTGTGTGTTTGTGTGTGTAAGAGAGAGAGAGAGAGATAGAGATAGATATGCATTCTTTCTATTTGCTGTATTCATGGCTTTGGATTTTGTGTGGAGGGGCAATGGAAGTCTACCAAGAAAAAGATCTACACTAGCTTTATGAGCCTATATCAATAAGCATAATGAGGCATGATTATATGATCATTCATCGGAAGACACTCCACTGCAGAGACAGAATTGAACTGGAATGTGTAGGAAGGACAAATGGGCCAGGCGTCAGGGCACTAACAAGGACTTCTGATTAGTTATTTTTAGCTTCAAATCTAGCATCCAAGGTCCATGTAACACCTCAACTGCCAATTGTTTGTCATTCCTAGATTGTTGTGGGAGATAAAGTTGTTCTGATGCCAGTGAACGCAGGCCAACCGCTACATGCCAGCAACATCGAGCTCCTTGATAACCCAGGATGCAAAGAGGTATTTTCAAGCGGACGAGGACAGATTTGTGGACTTTCTCCTGCAAGAGAAAACAAAGTTATTCATACTCATGAACATGATCCCAGTTGTGCTAATTAATCAAAATACATGCAGTGAATGATTAGCTATTGTTCTTTTCTAATAGGCCCTTGAAGATTTTTATATGAAAGTCACGTCTTTGTGATTGTCTCAAGTTGTTTCTTGTTCTTCTTTTACTATTTGAAAGTAATAATTGCTAGCATGGAATGCAATGTATGGTCTTATAACTCATATTTCTTCATTAATAGGTGAATGCTGTTAATTGTAACACTAGCTGGAAAATCACCTTATTCATGAAATTTAGTTCCTATCGAGAGGATGTGTTAAAAGGAGTAAGTGTGCTCTACTTGGAATTTTTGCTGAAAAAATTGAAGGTAGTTTTGCTGAACTCGTAGGTGCAAAGCTCATGTAATCATTGCTGTTTCATAATTTAGAACTTTTGCTAAAACCTTTAAAAACGCACTGAGTGTTTTGCTATGAAATGCATGACAATCATTAAGTAGCTAGCAGATGGGGGTACCTGTTTCTGATGCCTCTATGTCCATAATTATTTTTGGGGTAATGCAGCATTTTCCACTTGTTTTTCCAGGGCGATGTTGTTAGATTGTTTCATGCAGAGCAAGAGAAGTTTCTGACTTGTGATGAATATGAGAAAAAACAGCACATTTTCCTTCGTACAACCTTGCGTCAGTCAGCCACTTCTGCTACTAGTTCTAAAGCACTATGGGAAATAGAGGTATGTACATATTTTAATAAATACTTAGGGAAATATTTTTAATAAATATTTAGGGGAAAAGTGGAAATTACTAGACTGGTTGATACAGTCTTATTGATATATAGATCTCATTCACGATAGACTCATAAAATAAAACCTAATTTTTGATTCAATTTGCACTCCTTCATTTCAGCAAACAATTTGAAAGGATACTACTTTTTTAACCTCTCCTCTCTGTCTCCCCCCACCCCACCTACTCTCTCTCTTTACACACACACACACACACACACACACACACACACACACACGTGTAATATATTTATATGTATATATGGGGACTTTAAAAATTCTAGGAACAATTCCATTACCGTTTACTTCAAGTTTTCTACAGACTTTAAATATTTCTTCTGTGTGTGATTCTCTCTCTCTGTGTGGGTGCACATGCACAAGTCTATCTCCATGTGTCGCTATAAGGTGCTGTCAAGTATTTGCAACTCACAGCAGCCTCAGGTGGAACAGCATGTAACATCTTCCCGCTCCGGTGTGGCGCCGCCTCACACATGCTCTCTTGCAGGAGCCCACTGTTGCCGCCACGGTGTCCCTCCATTGCATCCAGGGCTTTCCTCTCTTTTGGCTGCCCCTCCACTTCACCGATCAGCATGCCCTTCTCTATGTATAGGATAACATCATGTGTATTTTGACATATCGATAGAATTTATACCTGTTTTTGTGTGCATTATAGTTTTCTTTAGGATGTGAACAGCTGTAGTTTAATAAGGGCACATACATGGTTTTCCCTGTAAAAATCCATTGTGAAATGTCAAGACTGATCAGAATAAAGGCCATGTATGTACTCCAAGTGGCATTGTAGCTACGATTGAGTCGGGTGACTTATTTTAAGTAAAGACAGTTATCAGAGCTCCACATTCAGTGGAGAGAGAGAACACAATCCCTCTAAGGGTGCCATTTCCATTGCAGTCAGGATAGACGCATAATTAAGAATTGATGCATCCTCTACTTAGAAAACGCATTTTTAAACATGTTCATATGGTACAGTTATTAAGAAAATATAAGATATAGACTTTTCTTTAAGGAGTTTTTAATGCCAGGGGAGTTCAGGTGTGCAACATCAGCTATGAATAAGCTAACACCTTAAAATTCCATTTTGATTTGATGGCTAACCAGGCCTAAGAGGAGTGATTCTCAATCCTGGTACATAATTTACTTACCTTTTACAACACATAGTGTGTGACACTGTATAATACCCTATGATAAAATTTATACTTTTATGATAAAAATTGCTTATTTTAATGCCAGCATTCTAATATAAAGGAGAGGTGGACAAAATATCTTACATCTATTTCAACACATAAATGACTAGATGAGCCAGTATTTAAAGCTATCTTTACTGGATACCTTTGAATTTGCAAGGCGTAGAAGAGGGTCCGAAGACATTCTGGACAAGAAGTCCACAATATGAAAGAGCAGAAGGTAAAGGTGATCCCTCAGTGGCGTTAGTGTTATCAGAAGCAATAACAGAGCATACGTAGCTGTATGTAATTAATCATATGAGAGAGGGAAGTAATCATCATTGAAGTAGGGATAACAAGGCAAATTACATGCTTTTGAAACAGAAACCAAATGAGGAAGTTTGATATGTAGCCAATGAGTGAGCCTGACTCAGGACTCTAAAGCAAACGACAACAACAAGTTACTGTTGTGTTGATTCTGAGGCGTGGTGTACGGTACGCGTGTACGGTAGCAGAACCGTGCTCTCCAGGGGTTTCGAGTGGCTTTGGTCTTTCAGAGGTAGACCACCAGGTCTCACTCCAGAGGTAGCTCTCGGTGGATTCAGGCCCCTAATCTTTTCATTAATAGTGAAGATTTTTGCCATTTGTAATGCCCAGTGACACCGTTGATAAGTGTAACATCGGAATAACTGTCCATGTTATGACATGATTTAACATAGAGATGAACCAGTACACAGAACATGTCTTCTGTCCTGAACCCACTACATTTTGAGACCTACCTTCAGCCTTGAATACTCAGTGCTTCAATAATGAGAGAAGCGATAGAGAAGTTATGAGCTTAAGACTAAAAAGCAGCAATTAACCAAAACAGATAGAGGATTAAAATATATTTTTTTGCATCATATGTTTATCACTGTGCTCCACAAATTGTAAAATATGTATGATATGAAGTAATATTTTGCAACATTATTAAGGAAATACAGTGTGTTCTCCGCCTTTCATATGTCTCTGCCCTATTTCATGCGTGGTCTAAGTCTGTTAAAAGAATTGTTACATCTTCTTTCTTATTATTTGCCATCAGTTTTATAGCTTTTGCTGTAAGGGTGCCGCTGTGCTAAACCCCTTTCTGACTTCATGTGTAGATGGAAATATTCTAACAGAATGCAGACAGTAAATACCTTTCATCCATCTAAGCTTCCCTCTCCATAGTGACTCTCTCTTCACTCATTTTCATATAACTTAAGGCAAACACTTCTTTGTGTGCTTATACACTGAAGTATTACTGATTTATATTTCTGTTGGTTTCCTTCTGAAGGCGATTGAAGGGCTTTATCAGTCAGGTTTGGGTCAGGAAATAGAAATCATTCAGGGGTTTCAAGCCAGGAGGTATTTCAGGTAGGGAATTTGTTTTCCATATGACTGCCAGGGTTATAGGTCCCCATACTACTGAAGGAGGAGCCACTCTGGGCTGGCAGTTAT